TCTATTTAGTGTTAGGAAAGGTATTGATTATGTGGTGGCATGAGCTTATATAAGCATAAATTGACCTTGTAGGGTATTTTATTCGTGTTTTAAGCGTGGTTCATTGCAGTACACAGATCTCTTGAGCAATACTGTTATGTATGTTAGTGTGGCACACTACAAATTAATCTTTTCAAGAAGGAGTGGGATTTTATAATCTGCAAGAATGTTTAACGCTCACTTTTCAGAAGACATATTAATGTGGTGACAGTCTAATAGAGGTTGAGTGGAATAAAAAGCAGGAGGTGAAATTACAGGACTAGGAAAATGGGTTAATCTTTTCACTATTCTTTTCAAGGCCCAGAGTTCTTTTTTGAAAATAGTAATGTTTTCTTTTAAAAAAAGTTTAAAATATTTTGGACCAGTGTGCCAGCTAAACTGCAGTGTAACATCAGCGGGCTTAACTGTATTTTACACCTAGGAATTTCTTTTTCCCTTTATTATCAGACGCAAATAAAGTTTGTCAGGAATGATATTTCCACAGGGAGGGGGCCCAGTATCCACAGCTCACATAGCACTATCCCACTGTGATACCACTCCCAAAGACGTGAAGAACTGTTGCATCACTTTACCAGGCTGCAACCTCAGTGAGATAGCCCGGAAATACAATGCTCAGAGGCTTCTCTGAAACACAGCATCTGCACAGCCTTTCTCCATATCCTCCCTCCTCTCACCCCCCCAGTAATTTTGAGGGTTGTTCTAGCTATTTGTTAGCTTCCAGCAAAAACAGGAGTTGCAACTATTTGGAAAACCTGCAGATTATTTTCCACCATGGGTGTATAGCCCGGATGAAAATAAATCAAGCTTAAAAGTCTGTAAAGCAAAGAGAGGTGGGGGTGTAAAAAGCAATTACAGCTTGCACCCAATTGGGCTCTGTAATTTGTTGCACTAATGAAACATTTCTTTTAAGTGGAAAACCTTCGAAGAATACTAATATAATAATTAATATTCAGGTTACCTAGGGAACCTGATACTCTACTGACTGTAGCTAGAAAAGCCCTTGCAGGGGAAGCTACCCAGCACAGCTTTTTTCTAGAGCTTTTAGAGTGACACTTCTAGACAGCTGCGAGATTATTTCCCGTCCCTTTTCAAGTTTGCACCAATCCTCTCTTATAACCAAGAAATCCGAGGACCTGCTTTGTCTAAAACAAGTTAGAGCTGATGTAAACCTGAAAAGGGAGGAAGAATTCAGGTGGGCTTAGAAACAAAGACATAATGTGGACATGCTAGATGATTGTAGACCCATAAAGAACAAGACAAATAATAATAATAAAAAAGACACCCAAGAGAAGCACAGCTGAATTTCATAAAGGAAAGGTTTGACTATAAAATACTTGAATAGTTGTCTGTATGTCAGTAGCAGTAACGGTTGGAGAAGACTTCACCTAAATCACTGTTAGGAGGATGCTATCTACACCACTTCTGGTGAAGGTACGACACCTTGCTAGCATCTAGTGGGAAGTTAGATAAAACCTTTTCAGCAATGGCTGACAAACACTACTGTGGGGTACAATAAATCTTAACTAGATTGCAAGAGCAATGAAGCAAGTGCTTGTACTTGCTCATCTGAGGGCAGCCTAAACCTGGCAGTCCTGATGTCAGCATGACAGATGCTGAAATAAGTGAAGGGGACTGGTTCTCAACAGAGGCTGGACAAAAATCAGCCAGAGAAGAGTGACTGTGGATATGGAGGTATTAAAGAGAACATCATGGATTGTACTTGCCTCATGATTCTTCTTGATTCTGAGAACCACATGGACAAACATGACATAGCTGTCAGGACCCACTGACCACTGCCAGCCAGCCAGCCAGCCAGGTGCATGCACAGCAGAGCAGCTTAGAGGAAGCCATTTGGAAAAGGGCAGTTCTCTGACAGCAAATGGACACAGTCTGCACAGCTGCATGGCAAAGCTGAGCTAGGTAGCAGAGGGTCAACCCAGAATCCTGCACTCTGTTTTTTGTGCAGTGGGTTGGCAAAAACACTGTGGTTTGTGTCACACATGGCTGTCGGCTGCAACCCCTTTGCCAAATATAAAGACAGGATTTTCTTTCCTGCATTGCACTTCTAATTCATATTCTTTTATTTGGCCTGGATCTGCTGGGAGTGCAGCTTACAAAGAGAATTGATGTGTACTCATTGGCACACACTGCTGTCTTCGAGGAACGTAAGGGCTCCTGGCTCAGATCACATACTCATTCACTCCACTACCAGTACGATGGTAGCCAACAGCAAAAGCTGCAAAGGAAAACACAAGAAACCTTCTCTGAGAAATTCACTACCCCATGGGAAGCTGCTTTTGACCCTTATTAATTAGAGGTTAGTTTATGCCCCGAAGCATAAGACATTAAATCCCTTATAAATATGCATGCCTGTTCTTCAGAACTCCAGGATAATACAGAGATGTCATAAAATTGACACCACGCCTGAGAAGCATGTAAGTGTTCACTGCATTTAACAGATGGGCAAACAGGGAAAGAAGTCAAGCAGCTTCTCTGCAGTCTAGTCAGCAGGGAGACGTCGGGTGGCACTGGCAGGTGAATAATATGACACAGGCAGCTTTCTCATGGAGATGGCTACCTGTATTACCCAATTCCTGCCACACAGCCCCTCTGAGATTAATTTCCTCTTCTGCAAAATGGGTGTGTTTATCTACCTACTTAATGAGATTTTTAGAACTGAATGATATTTGTATTACACAACTATTATGCATTACTGACACTAGGCAAAGTTAGAAAAAGGAAGAGATGCACTGCCAAGGGATTATTAATTCATTTATTTCACTGTGTTTCTAGAAGCTTTGTTCCCCACAGAGCTCTGTCAATGCATCATTTCTCAGCTAGAGTGTCCTTGCAAAGCTAGTTCCAGGCTCTTGTGCTTATGTCTGATAAATAAGTTCAGAAGTGCTGTGAGCATGGAGCGTATACAGATTTAGTCAGTAAAATTTTCTATATTGAACTTGGTTTTTTTTTTTGCTTGTTTGTTTTTTTTTTTAGAGTCTCTATTGACCAACTGCTAAGAGCCTTGAAAGTCTGGGAGCAAGGGCAACTGTAAAATTTGAATATCCTATTTCAAGAAATCACAGACAGTAGTTTGAAAGAATGGAAAAAGAAAGAGAAGACTTACGCAAGAGCACATATCTTTTGTAAAATAATAATCTGCAATGCCCTAACCCAAAGTACCAGTCCTTGGTCTTACCAGTGAAATTTCTCGATAATTTCAAAGCAGATTAGATTTCATAGGGACAGAAGAATATCCAATCCTGTCATCAGAATTGCAGCACGGGTTGTATACATATAAACCAGCTAATACTCCAGCTAGTTTGGATGTTAAAAACCAATGAAACCATAACAGCACAGCCTTTGAATGTTAATTTTAAGTAGCACGAGTTTGTCCAGTCTGTGCTGAACAGTGGTTTTCAAAAGATTTTTTTTGCTTGGTATTCAAGCTAAGTGAAAGCTAGCAAGCTCGCCTCAATGTACATACAGTCTCCATTTTCTGAGTGGCCTAGTGCACCCCACAGTTTTCACTTTTGAGTATTCCCAGTCTGTTTATTGGCTGTAAAACCCACCTTGACTACTTATGACCCACGCTCCTTGCTGGAAGGCAAAGACAGCAAGAGGAACAGTAAGCATCTTGTACTCAAAGTTCAACAGTCTCCTATGACGGTTTAGATAGAGGATGTCATGTTTGATTCCCATAGGCCTAGAAGGTGTAGAAGAAGTTGGCCCAGTGGAGATTGCAGAAACAATAAATGAAGAAGTCAAGCTGGAACAAGGAGTGGTTACTCTGCCACTGACTCGTACACCTAGCACAGCAGAAGTGGCAAATTGCTGGTAAGTGGTGGCTGGTCCATTCAGAAGGAAGAGAAGTTAAAAAGAGATCAGAAAACAAAAACCCAAAATGTAGCAGGGTGAAAAGCAGATGAGAGTAGCTTCACCTCTTGTGAACTCTGTACAAGACACCTGCCTGTTCTGAAACAGAATGGACTGCTTCTCTAGCTCGTTATCATGCTCCAATATCTCTGTGCGCAGCTAAAGCCTGCCTGAGTTAACTGAAAGTTTCTTAAATCTTAACTCTGTGTATTCTCCTATCTCAGCTTTGGGAAGCACCATTAGTCAGTTACAATACATAGCAAACGCAGCAATTTATGTTGCATAAAAAGCTTTACCACCCCTTAAACTACTTCTTCCAAGGGTATCATGCTGAGCATGTAGACATTAAGTTTTAAATGCTAGTTAACTCCAAAGAGTTGGAAGATAGGTCAGTTTATCTACTTTTAATGATTATGACAGAATCTTTAATTCTGATCCATGTAATAATGTAATTCAAGAGAGTATTTCCCCCTGGAGAAAACAGGGCTGGCACAGCGAAGCTGTTCTCTAAACCCAGCATGATGCATTTCCAAATGAGAGTGGAAGCTTTTCAGGGATCGCTGTCCCTACTGAGCATGTATTTACATGCCATTCTGAACAAGGACAGATATAATCATGTGCTTACACACTCAGGGGCCATGACATGCAGCATCAAACCTAACAAATGCCTTGGGCACTTCTGCAATAGAAGCAATAGTCTCGGGGTAAGAAATAGACTACTTCATTACACAGTCTTTTACCAGAGTGCCAGTTCAAATGGACAAAATCACACTACTGGCTTTTTTTTTTAATACTGTAGGTTTTGTGTCAGGAATATTTTAATCCATTCTCTTTAAGTTAGTTAACTATTCATTATAGTGGAGATAGGTGAAATTACTCATTTGTGTAGTTCTTTTATCCTACTCAGTTTGCACAGTTCAATTCAAATAAGAAGAGCCCCAGCATCAAAAGATTAATAGAAATGTATAGCTATGAATGCAGCCTAAAAGCAATAAAAAATAATCCTTTCAAAAGGGAAGATTTAAATTTCTGGCTTGTTAGACAAATCTAGGGTAAACAGCTTTTCTAAATGAGACAATGAAAATTACCTGAATTTTGTAGATTCTTCTGGTCTCCTTATCCAGGTGCAGTTCTGCAGTTTTGTGACTATGTGAAGATAATAATCTTCCGAATATCTAAAAAAGGCAACAACATCAAACACTAGAATATATATGTATGTATATTTAGAAACAGTCTCTAAAACATTCAAATGATGCATGTATTAATAACAATGTGCATGGTGCATACATAATAGATTGCTTTTAGAACTAACTCCATGACCTATTCTATTTTTGTAATTTGTAACAGTACTATCCTCATTTAATTAGCATGACCTATTAAACATCACTTAACAGTGATGTCCTAATGAACTTTTCAGAAACTTTCAAAAGCACAGTTTTCAAACTTTAACATTTGACCATAAATATCTGAAGTTATTAGAAATCATCTCAAGCACAAAAGTCCAAAATAATACAAAAGAACTCCTTCTTGTACTTGGTGTTTTAAACTTCAAAAATGTTTTGAAATGTGGCTCTTACAAGCCAAGATGAAACATTATACTTCTTATGCCTTTTCTTCCATTTACCTTATAGAGTTCCCAAAGGTCAATTCAATCATCTAAGACCACAGACCAATATTTACAGATGTAAGTTTTCCTTCAAATTATCTCTTAAATAAAACAATCTGTTGCTTTACATTAACCAGCACTTTGCTTACATTGGTACATGTAACCAAAGAGCTTTCTGCTCCTTTTAAACCATTTCAAGTGATATAAATTTGTCTGTATGTGAAATACTTCAGAAAATGTAAGCCATAAGAATAGAGACATTTCTTCCCTTACAGGTTCAATGTTAATACTTCTCTGATTTGTGCTTAGATCCTAATAGAGGTTTTTAAAAAACAACAACCGACTTATAAGAAGGACTGGTGGAGTGGGAAGAAGAGATTATATGGATGCCATGACTAAAAATTGTATGGGACTCATGTCTCCAGAAAAGATCCACCCGGTATTATTTTAGCAAAAAATGGCTTAGCATTGGCCTGAAACCAAATGATCATGAGTTTATTTAAGATGGAACTTAGAAGTGTGTATTTTGAACAGTTTTACAAGAGTTGGGATGGCAAGAAACCTCACTTGTTTTCAAATGGAGCATGAGAATTGGTAAAAAGGAATATAAAAAAGGCTGTGGTAGCTTGCAGCAGCAGGGGTCAACAACCCAAAAGCTTCCTTCTCTCTCTGTACAACACATTTTAGTATCACAGCTTTACGACAAACATTTGAAAAAACACCTCCCTTTTTTTGTTTGCTTCATGGAAGTACTGCAACTGCTAAAGTTAACTTGCTTATCTACCCCTGAGTAAAATCATGTCCCATTTCCACATAGAAAAAGAAATGAAACTTTTTAGAGGAATTCTGCATTAGAAGTAGTCCTTGGCTCAAGTCTGCACCTGTGACAACATGCAGGATTTTCATTCTCCAGACTCACCAAACTCTTAAAGGAACTAGACGATTGTGACTAAAGTGATTTTACCGAGCCCTTGCACAACTGAGAGTAGGATTTAATGGGCAGAAGTGGCAGAAGAGCAAAACTAGTTTCACTGCAGCTGTGGCTGATTTGACCTGGTACAGTACGTTCTTCCTCCTTCCAATCCAGCGCCAAATCTGTTCTTTCCCTTGTGCCACTGCTGGTACTTACCTGACTCCACATCTGTTTTGTTTTTGCCAGCTTTTGCACTTGTCAAATGCCTTCATAGGCCATTTTACTTCACTACCATGGCAAAACAAAAAACAACCCAGAAAGAAAAAAATATGCATATACATTTTCTTCTTCTTTAGTGTGTTAAAGCAGATCAAGAAAGATTCAATTGAACACCACAGCCAGTATAAGCAAGGAGTGATGGGAATGGAGAAACTGGGAAAAAGGCCTTCCTATTTTGGCAGCTGCCTGCTGGTATGTTGTATTCGCAGCGTTGGAACTGCAGCCAGACAAAAAGGGAACTACTCTGTTGCTGAAGCTGCTACCTAAATTGGCTCACTGTGGCAACTGCACAGTGCAGGACAGGGAGCGCATGGATGGGCAGGATGGGATAGAAACACAGGACTGAAACAGTCTATGCTGATGCTGAATCACTCATCTAGTTTCATTCCTTAAGGCTCAACAACGCTCAGACGCTGCGACTTCTGGAAAAATTCCAAAAATTTATAGGGTAACAGGGCATTACTTAAGCTATCAGTATCTAGGAGAAAAAAATACAGAGAAAGCAAATTCTAGCCTAAAGACATTGATAAGATGAATATCACAGTCAGAAATGAAAAGAAAAATTACCATCAGCTCAGAAAGCAATCGCATGGACTGACAAGTTATTAGCAAGTTACAGGGAAACATTTGGTAAGGAGAAAAATCAATACATCATCCACAATGCTAGATCTGAGGCCTCATAAGAAACATGGGCACTCACCATCAGAAACTGTAAGGACCTTCTTACACATGTAACAGAAGCTGCACCCAGGGCAAAAACACCAGTTACAATGCGAGAACATTGCTGCCTTTCCACTGCTCTCTACTGGATGGAATCACTCTTGCTCGGAGGTGTCTACGCTCACCAGCTCACAGAGAAAAGCACCACTTACAGGTCTTTACAAGGAAGAAGACCACCCCTGCTCACCCTACACATCCAGTTTTGCTCCTCTGGTGACTTACAAAGACAGTATGGACTGTCAGAACTCATCTTTGCCAGCACAGCACAGGGCTGCGAGCAGCAGACATTTCACTGTGAGGGTGACAGAGACCTGGAACAGGTTGCCCAGGGAGGTTGTGGAGTCTCCTTCTCTGGAGATATAAAAGACCCGCCTGGACAAGGTCCTGTGCAGCCTGCTGTAGGCAACCCTGCTTTGGCAGGGGATTTGGACTAGATGACCCACAGAGGTCCCTTCCAACCCCCACCATTCTGTGATTCTGTGACATCCCAGCAGCATGTCCTGGGGGACTGGAGCTCTGCAAGGCGGCAGCCACATCTGCTCACACCTATATAAGGCTTCCATGAAACGAACCCTACTTCAATACAGACATTCCCATAGATTCATTTTTTTTAAAGACTCAAAGTTAAGCTCTGCGATTTGCTGCAGCTGGGTTTACAGCACAGAAAGCTTTGTTTTCCTCTCAGAAAGCCTATTTTAGCATTTCCTGCTTTAAAGGAGCCCTGGGGACTCACTCCTCCAACAGACTCAGTCCAGAAGGCCATCAGGGTATCACTTTATAGTTCTACTGTAACCCAGACAGTCCTCTTTCTTCACTGTTCTGTTTTAAAGAGCTGGGACAATATATATATTTCCACTGGCACCCAGGAGCTTACAGTACATATTCACTGATGCTAAAAAGGTTTTATTATTAAGATTTAAAAATTTCAGGTAAATTGAACTATAAAAATATGTGGACAATAATTACAGTGCTGAGAATAGTGAATGAAACACATTTCATCCTGTTTTGTCTGCCACCTGCACCACAACCATGACAATAACTTGCTGTTGTAGTGAACTCACACTGTATGAGCCTTGCTGACAAAAAAACACCCGGAAGGGGTTTTTTTGCCTATAGTACTTGTCAGGTACGCAGTGACCTTCTACATTAACTGCAGAGGCTAAGGTGGAATTATTATGCACAGTTGAGGCACTGACAAAGTATAAATATCTTCTAATTTTTGGCAGATATCTAAAGGACAACAGCAAGGACAGAAATGTTGAGATATCAGGGAGACAATAGGTAAAATGTCAGAACAGAGAAACAGATGCAACCCCACTGGTTACCTGCTAAAATTACACATCTACTTGGAAAAAAAAATATTTGAATTAGAAGGAAAACTGAGCAGCAGGAGTGAAAAAAAGGAGATATTCCTACTTGGCAGCTTATGTTCAAGAAGGAAACAAATAAAAGCAACAGCAGGAAATGCAAGAGAAAAGGAGGATCCCTTTTGCCTTTGGACACTTTAATACTACCAAAACAACTATCGGTTTTTAAAGCCCTCAGGAGAGTGTGCACAGGGCTTGCTCTAGAATAAAAATGGAAAACTGCCAGCAAAACTCAGCATTTCAGGCTCTTTATCACCACCAGCACATACCTGCTATAATAATAACTTCACACTTACACAGCATTTTTTACCATTGAATCATTTGACAAGCTTTAAACTAGTAATTTTTTCCCCTTTCTGCCAACTCACGAGGCAAGAGTGTCCAGAATGTCCCTGAAAGTCTAGAAGTGCAATATAAAGCATTTATATAGCATGCCTGTGGGTCACACCTTGAAAAAGCAACAAAGATCCCTGCAGCTCCTCTCAGTGAAGGGCAGTAAGTTGCAATATTCATGGCACAAAGTAATCCCTTGCTCCTTTGTTCCTAGCATCAGTTTCTCTTCCTACCTGCCCAATTTATCTTCTGCCTCGTTAAATGGTGCAGCTCCTTTCTCTCTAGCCACAGAATAAAGGTCTCATACTTTCGAAAGTTTCTCCTACAATCTCAGCTGCAAAACATTCTAGATACAAAGAGCATGTCTGCATTGCTGCAGCCTCTACAACTTCCTAACACCTGGCATAAATAACAGCATTTATATTGCTATAACTGGATTTTGGAGGCAATACAGTAACTGGTTGTCCTTCTGGTATTAATCACTCAATTTTTCAGTTAATTGTATTCTTTGACCTCTGTTTGCCAGTCTCTTTCAGCTCTCACTAGAAGTGCACCAGTAACATAGTGGTCTACCACCTTTCAAAAGAGTAAACAATGATAGTGTTGCTGCTGAGATGGAATATTGGTGGGAGAAGAGATTATAGAGGAGAAAAAAAAAGAAAGAACTAAAAGAGTAATGACAGCATGCTGGTAATATAGTGACTTAAAAACAGGTGAAAGATCTTAAAATGCAATGAGAAAGTGAGGAGGGGGCAGAGAAGACAGGAGACATTTTCAAATCACGATTTAATGTTGTTTCTGTGTTAAGGAAAAATTTGACTTCTCCAGTCCTTTGCATGGCGAAAAGCACATAACTATTTTTAGCAGAGCTTTTTTTCTCATTCCATTTCTCTTCCCAAATGGAGGGAAAAAACCCCCAAAGTTTCCAATTTTAAAGACACCATGGCACATAATTAATTTTAAGCTGGAACTCGGTCATAACAGGAAGCCTTTCTTATTTACAATGTTTTATTTATTGGTGCATCCATAGAGGCAAAATGTTACATGTCAAAAGTAATGGCTGCTCCTCCCATTTTCACTTTAGTAAGTGCCAAGGAATTTGAGCAAGGCTGATATCAAACATCTTTTTTCCATGTCAGCAAAAGGCAGAACAGCAAGTTGAAAACTAAAATTAATTTAGGGTGTTTTTTCATTGTATGTAAAATTGAGTTATTAGTTTCATGTGGACTAGTTATTACAATCAGTGCAATTAATTAGCAAGTTTTTATACAGGTACATTTCCATACTTACTCTAGTGGATATGCTGAAAAGAATCCATTAAATGAGGTTGCTCATAGCAGGAGCGTTCACCAATCAGGAAAAAGACACTGAAGAATTAAATTATACCTCACAGATTCTGTTCAACCTTTTTGTGAATACCTTGGAATAAAATGTTGCTAACTGTTAAGGAGAAATCTTGCTGACTTTTATTGTGAACATAAAAAAAAAAAAAATCCAGCCTCAAATAAATCTAATTCATAGGAAAGAAAAGATGCAGGCAAACATTGGTTGAGCGATTTCAGTTTCCTGTTGCATAGCTCCACATTAATATCATCGAGAATTATGTAAAAGAGGACAATCTTTTACTCTTCTATTTAAAACAAACAAAGCAGAAAGCACAGCAAATACCTACCTTTTCTTCTTGATAGATGATGACAAAATGTTGTCCTGAATTGCCTTACATTTTGAAGTCTGTTCAAACTGGTAAATTCCATTTTTATTAACAGTTGTTCTGTTGGGGGAGAAAAAGCAACAAACTTTAAAAGAGAGAACATATTCTGACAATGCTGTCACATTTACTTTGCTATGACAATAAGATTAGTAACCGTTGACTTAGCTGAAAACATTACCAAAGAAATCTTACTGACTTCTGTTTTGAAGCTCGCTCTCATATAAAAGGGGAGTTTGCTGCTAGTGACTATAAAATACTTGATTCTTTAAAGTAACCCTATTTCATAGTCTGAATTACATTTTCTGCTTTACACTGTAATCAGCAAATGTAATTTAAAAAAATAAATTAAATGGGAAGCCTCTTGAACATTATGTTTTGAAGATATTTAAAGTATTCACCAGTAAAATATGTAGCAGATGTGATTTTCTAAAGCTGTTGATGAAATGCAATATTCAGAGCCAACATAATATGTACAGGAAACACCACAGGTGAAGTGGATCTTTCTACTTGGACCTTAACTTCCTGACTCGAGCTTAATCCTTCCTCCCTTGTTTATTCTTTATTTACACAATGAGAATAAATACTTGCAAAAAGAACCAAGGCAAGTGCCAGAAAGTGATCTTTAATTCCTGCGGTCTTATTTTCACCAAACTCCAGTTTCTCTTGCTCTCACAGTCCTGGTAGGAGACTGAGCTGTAAATTAGTAAATGACTGAGATACCAAAGCCATATTCCATTCACCTCAGTTCGCCTTGTATCTAGCTTCATTCTCATATAATCACCCTCTTCTGCTACCAACCTCCTGCCGTGTCTACTGTCACTTGTCATGAAGTTTTTTTTCTGCAGCATTTTTATTTTCCTCACTCCTCACTATCTTCCCCCCTCTCCCCACCCCGTTCCTTTCAGATTCTTTCCACTGATTCACTGCTTATGGAACACTTGGACACTGCAACCTATCTGTCCAAACAGGAACTGGAAATACAGAAGACATAGATGCTGTGTCATTCGCTCCTGGGTGTGAGCTGCAGTAGTGAACACAACTTGTGCTCTTCTTAGGAACACAGAAAAACCAAGCCATCTCAGTCACCCTCACAGTAAAAAAGTGTTTCCCGATGTTCAGAGGAAACCTCCTGTGCTTCTGTTTGTGCCCATCGTCTCTGGTCCTGTCACTGGGCACCGCTGAGAAGAGCCAGGTTCTGTCCTCTTTGCACCCTCCCTTCAGGTACTGATAAGGTCTTCCCTGAACCTTCTCTTCTTAAACAATGAAAATCTTAAACAATTAAAATGAGAAGATGACTGACTACAGAAGAAAGAGCAGAATAAATGTTTATTTTGCTACTGAACTGACTGGCATGTTCACAGCTATGACAAGGGAGGACAAGGAACAAAGGGCCTTTCCTTCTCGTCCCACTGCCCATGAATGTTCTGGTGAATCAGTCACTCCATAGCAGTGATTCACCCAGGACGTAAGCTGCAGAGGAGAGATATCAGCTGTCTCCCTTTCTTTCCAGCGTTGGGAACTTCTTCCCAGTATGCACTCAGTGGCCTTACGGAGGTATGCAGCCTGTATGCCCCTTGTTGAGGGCAGTGGTAAGAGAACACAATGTAAACCTCTGTCCTTTCAGTTATGCAGTGCCTTTAATAGACAGTAACAACCAGCACTACCCGCTGAGAGCTCCTTGCCTGATTTTGCATACAGCTCCTTATCTAATTCTTTTTCAAGGAGGGACATACAAATGGCAGGACAGCAGGGTCTCAGACCACACAGTTCAGAGCAAACAGCTCAGCAGATCTCACACAGTAAGAGCCAGCAAATATTCTGACTACACCGATGACGCACACAGGTTTATTGCAGCTTGGTCTAAATGGTTCTGTCTACACCCAATAACCAGGTGGGCCTTTTCATAAAAGAACCCAAGACCAGTTCCCAAACAAATCTGGTTAGCACTAATCATGTTTCCCCTCTCTTGCTTCTTTAACTCAGGGAAGTGGTGGGGTCAGCATCCCTGGAGGTGTTCAAAAAACATGTAGAATATAGCACTTCAGGACATGGTTTAGCAGACATGGTAGTGTCAGGTTGACAGTTGGACTGGATGATCTTAGAGGTCTTTTCCAACCTTAATGATTCTGTGATTTTATGAAACAGCTACAGGCAAAGCTTAGCTGCATAAACAGCATCTTAAAAAAGGAACTATTGAGATCATAAGCCAAGTGCCTGTTACTGTTGCAAGTAAGTCTTTCACTACAATTAAAAATGAAGATGCCGGGTGCTGATTTGAGAATGGGCCCCAGCCCTCCAGAGCCAGAGCTGGCCGGAGGCTTGCTCCTCCAGGACACGAAGCCAGCCGGGAGGAGCGAGCCGGAGCAGGCGGCTGGGGCTGACCGGCTCACCCCCA